ACACAGATTACAGGAAGGTCAGGGAGTGTGACGGCAGAACAAGTTTCCTGGTTTATATAAAACCCCAGCAGGACCTGACGAGAGTCTGATAGAATCTGCTCCTCCGCTCGTTCACTCACTCCAACGCCCACACACTCGCCCTCACCCCCTCTCTCACCCCCTCTCTCACCCCCACTCCCACTTGCCCTCTCTCCACTGCTGCTACTCTTCCAACAATCAGAGCTAAAACTGATGTTTTGCTGCAGTGTTTCAAACGTGTTCAGCGGTGGCGGCAGTTGGTCCGGCTGTAGTCGACTGTAGTCGACTGTAGTCGACTGTAGTCGACTGTAGCAGACTGTAGTCGACTGTAGTCGACTGTAGTAGCAGATGTTATTGGTCGACCGACCGATCACCGACTTCTTCTCTGAAACTAAGACGTAGAAGCTGCTCTTCACAGAATCAGTGGAAAATACTAGAAGAAACATTTCTGTCTGAAGCTGACGACCAGAGGGATTTGAACCATCGGCGTCTTAGAGTTAGCAAGAAGAAGTTAGTTCCAGAAGACGACGGGAGGTTCTGACGACTTCTTTCACTGTGACACAAATGAAACCCTGGGTCCGACTGGAACAGTGTGAAAGTCCAAAATCTGGACTGATTCTCTTCTTCTTCTTCTTCTTTAGGGTTTAACTCTTCTTTACTCAGTGTTTGAGTTGCATTACTGCCACCTAGTGAGTCTAATTTAGAAACTCAGTCTAATTTAAAAAAGGGATCATGTTTATGTCTAACATTCCCAGATTAAAAACTGAATAAATTATAAAATTTATATAAAATAAAACCAGTTCAGAATCTCATCTGAAAAGTTCCATTATTAGCTGTTAATAATCAGATCTTCTTCTTCTTCTTCTTCTTCTTCTTCTCCTCCATGAAGTGGTGAAATAATTTATAACCAGTGACAAAGGCAAGAATTAATTGAATTAATGTATGAATAAATGAATAAAACACAGATTTAGGCCCAGAGCGTCAATAAGTAGAACACGGTTTTATAAAGAATTGACTGCAGTATAGTGTGAATTCACACTCATTCACACTCATTCACACGTTAGCCTGACGTTAGCCTGACGTTAGCCTGCGGCCTCTGAACTTCAAAGACTGACACCATCGACTACCTTGACTTTTTAATTTCCTTCATCATCAGGTTTGTACGGTGTCGTCGTCAGTAAACACTGAGCTCCAGTCGGTTCTTCTCTCAAACAAAATCTGACTGAAACCGCAGTTATGTCAAATTAGTTCCATAGTACTGATCTTTTATTCATGAAGGGCTTCATTAAAGGAGAAACATTTCAGAGCAATAAAGGACTTTGAAGTGAGTGAAAATAACAAGCAGCTCCACAGATTACAAACCAACCATTATTATTATTATTATTATTATTATTATTATTATTATTATTATTATTATTACCGACGTGTGAAACAATCTAGAAGTCGAGATGGAAACTTCAGGCACGGGTCCAGAACATTCTGTGGTCGTCCAGTCTCGTCAGACTGGAGAAGAACCAGTTCAGAGCAGGTTCATCTGATGGACAACGTGATGGAGTGTTTGGCTGCAGGCTGACAGAGAAGGCCTACCTTCATCACCTTCATCACCTTCATCACCTTCATCACCTTCATCACTTCTCCTGCCACACACCCCGACATCAATCACCCCAAAGCCATATCTGACACCGCCGGCAGCACGACGGAGGAGGAGGAGCCTCGGCCGCAGAAGAAGTGGTGG